CTCTCTCTCTCTCTCTCTCTCTTCTTCTCTCTCTCTCTACTATATATATATATATATATATATATATATATATATCTGTCCTTCTATCTCTTTCAGACTCTTTATCTTTCCTTCTCTCTCTTTCTGTCTATCTATCTATCTATCTCTATTTTTTCTAAAACTGTTTTGTTTTTTTGTTTGTATCACTGTAATGTGTGTGATGTTCGGGTGTATTGCAGTTATGTGACGATGGGCATAGATCTAGGCAACCTTGCCGCTCTCAGGACATTTCGAGTCCTCCGAGCCTTGAAGACTGTCGCTATTGTACCAGGTATGCTTAGTGAAATAGATCAATTGGGTGTAGTCGCAGATTTTCTTTTAGAGATTATTCATTTTTTTTTTTTTTAAATTAGATATACACTTTTGCCGCGGCTCGCTGTTACACACATACATTCTATCGCATATCATCACCGACACAACGCCTATATATTCTATTATAATGTTACCTCTCTGTATATCTTCTCACTTACGTCTATCTGTAACGAAACGCCTATATTACTCATCCGTACATTTTTTCGTGCGTCATTTTTTTTGCTCGCCAGCCTTGCATCTTTCGACATCGATCAGATCATCGGATCAGAGATCATTCCATTCTGAATTGAACGTCACGATTTTTTTTTTTTCTTTTTTCTCAATTTTTCGATCTTCTGCTAGCAGCATCCATTATCCCCTCCTTGTCCCTCATTTTCGAGTCCATCCACGATTCTCCCCAACTTTTTTTACTTTTTCAAAAGAGACGATAATATTAATTTGGTGATCCTTCCATCCGTTTCTTCAGTCGATCCATTATCATCTATCTGTCTTTCTCTCTTTTTCCACACGCTGAAACGAGAAGCGTTGTCTTGTTTGTTGAACAAAAAAAAAAATAATATATATACATATATATATATATATATATATACAATAAGACAAATGATAAAATAAATATGTAAAAGAGCTACGCCCGCCACTTTGAACGTCGTCTTCGTCGAGCATATTGCATATCGACGTTTTACTGACGAATCCATCTGGTCCCCTTTTCTGTTTCGTTCACCAGGTCTGAAAACCATTGTCGGCGCTGTGATAGAATCCGTGAAGAACCTGCGCGATGTGATAATCTTGACGATGTTCTCTCTTTCCGTCTTTGCGCTGATGGGCCTCCAGATTTACATGGGGGTGCTCACGCAAAAGTGTATAAAGAACTTTCCCGAGGACGGCTCCTGGGGCAATCTGACCGATGAAAACTGGGAGCGATTCGTTAGTAATGAAAGTACGTAGTTTATTATTCTTTGACGTGTTTTCGTTTTTGCTGAAAAGTTTCAGCTCGGAAACGAAGCCTTTACACTTTTTTTCTCCTTGAAATCTTAG